CGCCAGCCGAGCTGACCCGGAGTCCCGTCTGTGTGCGGTGGGCACCCCTCGCCCATCTCATGCCGGGGGAGGGCGGGGCCACTGTGCACTAGAGCCAGCACGTGCCAGGTCGCAGACGGGATGTCTCAGGGCTCGGGGCACCATCCGGCAGACACCATCTGGGAGGAGAGGAGGCTGAGGCCGAGAGACGATGCCTGTGTGCAAGGCGGGGTGTAGGGGCTTCACTTCTGCGTCTCCTTCAGTCCTCCCAGCGCCCCTCACGGCATGAATTAGGGTCCCGAGTTCACATCGGAGGAGACTGAGGCGCCAGGGGTGTCCATTACGTGGCCTGGGCCTGGCGGGGCCAGGAGGCGGGGCCGGATGGGTTTTTTCCCTCTACGACCCCAGGCAGCTCTCCAGAGGGGCCCTGCCACCCTCCTGTCCCCCTCCCTGGGAGTTTGCAGCAGAGATGAAAACTGGCGTGTGTGTACCTTTGTGTGTAGAAGCAGGCCTACATGTGTGCACACGCGTGGGCTGGGTAGATTTATGTAGCTCTGACGGCAGGCGTGACTGTGTACGTGTTTACGCAGTCGCAGTCGGTGCCCCGCCCACTCCCTCAGCTCTCGACACCCCTGTGTGTGCCGGCGGGGCTCGTGGCTGGGAGCGGCGTAGTGCTCCCTCAGACGGGACAACCCGAGGCGTACTCTGCCCACCATCCTGGAGGTCCCCAGCTCACCCCCTACCCCTGCAAATGCTTCCTGGTGTCACCTCCCAAGTGAGACACTAGCATTCAGGTCCTTGTCGGGACCTGCTGGGGCTCCTCGGCTAAGGGTGACCACGTGGCGTGTGCTGAATTCATAGCTGAATCTATATCGCATGCGTTTATACGCACACCCGTGTCTGGGCCTGTGTTACCTGTGTTGGAGCCGTGGGTAGTGCGTTTGCTACTGTGCGTGCGTCGATGTGAAAGTCTGAGTGTCTATGCAGCTCATGTGTCATGTGTGCGTGCGTGTGCGTGCGTGTTAGGACTCGTGAATTGTGTGGCTGGGTGGGGTGGGGGGAGACAAGGAGGACTCTGATGATTTCAACCTTGAAAACTCATTTCAATTACAATTTACAACCTGCAGACAAAGGCGCAGTCGCTGTAGTAACCATGGCTGCAGGGGTTTGACGAGAAAATCCTCCGGATGGTTCCTGTGCTGGCTGTCACCCGTGGCAGAGCCAAACGCCTCTCTGCCTCACTGTGCCCCGGGACACAATTAGGACATCTTCAGACTTGCTGCTGTCACCGCAGCCATGTGTCTGGAATTCCTCTCTCCCAGCAGTTCTCAGACATGCCCGTCTCCCTTCCTCCCAGAACCGCGGTCCCCTTCCTGGGCCTGGGCCCCGGGGTCTCTGCCACACATGAGGGGATGTTCTTTTTTTATTTTTTTTTAAGAATTATTTTATTTAACGACATTTATTTACTTTTTTTTTTTTTAATTTGACCAAGGAGGGGTGGGGTGAGGTGGGAAAGTGAGAGAGAAAGCCACTAGGTTCAGGACTCAAACCGTGGTTGGCCATGTGGGAGTCCAGTGCCTTTAACCACTACGCCACCTGCTGGCCTCCCACGAGGGATATTCTGAGCGCCACCCCTCCACTGCCGCCCACCTCCTTTAGACCTGCAGGCAGGAGTAGAGCCCAGGGGAGAGAAGGGAAGGAGGCAGGTCGGGGGAGGCAGGGGAGAGGGCGCTCAAGGTGGTAGGGAGCTCTTGGAGTTGAGAGATTTGGGTTCAAACCCCCTCTGCTGCTTCCCGGCTAACTCCATCTGTAGGCATGAACATCTGCTCGGTGCCAGGATTCCTGCGAGACTTGGGCACACCTAATCACCTGTACACCTGCCACCTGCCCTGGGAGACGGGCCAGGCCAGTGTGTCCCAGCGCTGTGGGGAGGATGAGCTGCCGGGCGTGCGCTGGTGGTAGGGCCATTTGCTGAGGAGGCAGGACTGGTGTGCGGAGAGCCACAGGCACCGCCGTGGGCACAGCTCGGACACCCACGTGGGACAGGGCGGTCTGCCTCGTTCTGCTTGTGCTGTGACTCCCGCCCCCTCCACCCGCCCCGGCCATGGGAGCACGCCTTGGCCCTGCCATCCCCTTCCAGGGATGGGCCCACGCGGCCTGAGGCTGGGATGTGAGGTGTGTGTGTGTGCATGTGTGTACGTGTGTAGAGGGCACACCCACAGCCTGGCGCTCCCGTCCCAGGTGCCCTCGCTGCACCCCAGTTTCTTCATCTGTAACTGGGGCTGGACTTGAGGCAGAGCCAGGGAGGAGTGCTGGGTGGTCTCTGGATGGCCATGCTGGCAGTCGTAATCAGGGGGGACGGCGTGGAGGGGCACTGCCCCACGGGTGCCCACAGGACCCCACAGCCTTCCCGCAGGAGCCACCCCGGTGGAGGCGGGTCTCCCTGGTGTGGACACGCCTGCGGGTTGTCACAGTGGCGGTGGTGAGAGCACTGGGTCCTGACTCCAAGGGCCCTCTGGGGAGGACCTGGGGAGCCAGGGAGAGCGGGCCAAGGCCAGCTTAGTGGGCGGTGTCCACGGTGGTGTGTCCTTGGCCTTGGGAGAGAGTCGCCTCCTCTCTGCCGTGGCCACACCGCTCGCTCCACGCCTGGTTAATAATTTAGTTTCAGGACCAGCAGTTAGCGTAATGGCTATGTCGCTGGACTCCCATATAGTCGACTGCTGTTCGAGTCCCAGACCTGGTGGCTTAAACTCATGCTGGGCGCTTGTGCGTGCGTGCCCAAGATCCCTAGAGGAGAATGGAGGAGAAGGGATTGTGGCGTGGCCATCCCCCCTGGGGGGTGATTTCTTGCTTTCTGTCTCTCTGTCTCTCTCTGTCTGTCTAGCGAGTGCATGCGCCCTATGGCAAAAACCTCTCCCCCCCCCAAAAAAAAGAAAGAAATAATTTAGTCTTGTCCATGTGAGCCGAGGGTGTGAGGGTTGCTGTGGGGAGTCGAGTGGTGTTTTGTGGTCCTTCTGCCTGGAGAGGGCAGAGCCTGGTGGCTAAGGCTAGACCCAGCCCCAGTGCCCGCCATCACCCTGCAGGGACGGGATCACCCTCCCCATTTCTCTCCAGGCTCTGGGACCTCGTGGCCTATTGCCCTGGCCGGGAAGACAGCCTGGCGGAGGTGGGGCACTGGCCTTTCCGATCCTGGCCGGCTCCTTGTGCCTTGGTCTAGAAACCGTGTCGCCTGGCGCCAGAGCTGGCTGCGTCCCTCCGGCAGGCCTGGGCCAGTGCTGGGGGAGCGGAGGGGTGCTGGGAGTGCCCCCCTTGTCCACTGGCTGTGTGACTGGGCCTTTCCTCCCTAGGCCTCAGTTTTCTCATCTGCCAAATGACACTGGGAGCAGGCGACCCCACGGCCCCCGCCCTAGCTTGCCATCCGCGGTCTCTCCCTCGCTCAGCCTCTGTGAGTGTCTACGCTGGGCGAGGCTGAGGACGGCCTGGGGTCCTGGCCATCGACGCAGTGACCAGGCAGACGTCATAGCCCAGTCACCCCTGCTGCCTGGGGTGGGCGTGGCAAGGGTCCTTCCTGGTGAGGGGAGCAGATGGTGGAGCAGACCGTGCCGAGAGGCCGTGAGCCCCCCTGCGCCTGGGGCTGCCTCTGAGGTGGCCAAGGCAGGGGGAGGGACACAGCGACCTCTGGGGTCCCCAGGAAACCCCGAGCTAGTGCTGACCCAGCCCAGCGCAGCCCCCTCATGGAGGCTTGGGCCTGACCCAGGGCGTGCAGGTGCAGCCCCTCGCCCTGCTGCCTGCTGGAAATGCCTCTGCCCTGCTGGGTGATTGCCCGTCCTCTCCCTGCCTGGCCCTGCCAGCCTCCTGGCCCCTTGCTCTCAGGTGGAGAGTCCGCTCGCTCCTCCTCATCCCTCCCCTGCCACTCTCCTGCCCACACCCCTCCCCGTCTGGCACAGTGTGGTACACAGGCTCGGGTCTGGGTTCCCTGGGTCCAGACACGGCCCTGTGTGGTCCTAGAACGTCGCTTTCCTGGGCCTCAGTTTCTCTGTCTCTACAGTGAGGGTCATGACCCACCTTGCACATTGCCGTGAGAATTCAGAGTTGGTGGGTTCAGGGCTTAGCACAGTGCCCGGTGCACACGGAAGCCGGCAGCCATTCCCCCGAGGTCCGGACCAGGAACCCCGCTGCGAGGCCTCTGGCCTGCTCCGGCCCAGGGCCGCTGTCAGCACAGAAGCCCCGTCTGACCGCTCTGTGCGTGGGAGAGTATGGACGAGGCCCTGCCCTCTGATGTGGCTGGTAAAGCCCTGTCCCTCTGTAAGGGGCCTCCGCTTACCGACAGGACACCGAGGCCTCCGGCAGCCAAGCAGCTGGCACAGGGCCCATGGCAGTGAGAGCGGGCACAGGGAAGGCGGTGAGGACGGGAGGTCAGATCCCCACAGCCTCCTTGGCTCGGGGAGCTGCTGGTGGGCTCCCCATTTTGCGAAGTTCACTGGCTTGGCTCTAGGGGTTGCCCCTGAGGTGTGGGAGCACGGGTGGGGATGGTGGTGACGGCCGTGTCTGGGGTGATTGGAACCGTAGGGCATCCAGGGGCCGGGCTCTCTGGCTCTCTGGGCCTCAGTTTCCCCACCTGTACCTGGGGTGAGGGCGGCATCCTCTGGCTAGAGTGGAGGCCCGGGGTGAGCTGCTTTAGGGGCGCCCCTCCCTCATTGGCAGAGCTCCTGCCCTGGCTGTTACCCAGAGCATCTGCCCCATGGTTACCCCGGGCAACAGGCAGGATGGCCGAAGGGAGATCTGGCCACTGCCCTCCAAGGGCGACAGGTGACAAGGAAGCCTGCCCTGGCTGTTCTGGGTCTTGGGAGCACAGGCATCCTCCTCCCCTCGCTCCCTGGGCCTCTGCGGAGTAGTCTCCCGGGCCAGGGCACAAGCCCTGGGTGGGAGTCGGGAGGCTGGGTGAGCCCGCGTAGGCTGTGCCCTCGTGCTGTACCGGGGTCCTGGGCCCGCGGGCATCCACTCCAGGCGTTTCTTTGCAGACCGCGAGCGCATCGGGCAGGACTCCGCCTACGAGCAGGAGGGGAAGGTGCAGTTTGTGATCGACGCCGTGTACGCCATGGGCCACGCGCTGCACGCCATGCACCGTGACCTGTGTCCTGGCCGCGTGGGGCTCTGCCCGCGCATGGACCCCGTGGACGGCACCCAGCTGCTCAAGTACATCCGCAACGTCAACTTCTCAGGTGGGCGCCGTGTGGGCCAGGGGTTAATCCCGCTCCTCCCCGTAGGTGCCTCTGCCCTGAGCTCATAATCCTGCCTGCCTCTGGGTTCAACAAAGATGCCAACCCACAGGCATCGCGGGGAACCCGGTGACCTTCAACGAGAACGGGGACGCGCCCGGACGCTACGACATCTACCAGTACCAACTGCGCAACGGCTCGGCCGAGTACAAGGTCATCGGCTCCTGGACTGACCACCTGCCCCCCAGAGTGAGCACCTTCCCATCGCCCCCTCCCAGGCCTCAGAGGCTCTGGGTCCCCGCCCCCAGATGGAAGAACGGTCAGCTGACCTCCCCGTCAGCCTGGAGCCTTCCTGTCTGCTCCCCAACCTGGGGCGGGGCTGGAACCCTGAAGAGGTGAATTCAGCCTAGAGTGAAAGGCTGGAAGGCTTGGTGGCCGTGTTTGGTGCTTGGTCAGGGTCGAATCTCAAGGCAGAGGGGTGCGCAGTCGACTGGGGGTAGGGCGCTGCCCGAGAGTTAGCTCCGAGCCGCGTCGCTGTTCTGGGTCCTCTAGTCATGCTTTCCCAGCTCAGGGGATGTCCCAGGGGTGTGGTGACTCCCTCTCTGTCCCTCAGCATTCCTGGCTATGAACTAGGGCAGTGTGTTTGGAGATAAAGGGTCTGTGGTTTGCTCTCCAAGGAAAGGCCTTGTGGGCTTGGTGTCTGCCTGCAAGAGTGAGGGGTGAGCTGTGTTTGGGGTGCACACAGGCTGACAGCCTGGATGAACCAGAGCGACCTGGAGACCAGACCCTAACCAGCCGGCTGTCCTCGTGGTGGGATCCTGGAGAGGCGCCGTGCGGGCCTGCTGTCTCCTCTCGTAATGATCTCTTCCAGCAAGGAGCCCCTTGAGCTCTCCGGAGCACTTTCCGCCCATGAGCTCACTCAGCCACGACAACCTAAGTCAGGAAACGTCTCAGGAAACCCAGCCCTGGGGAGTCTGCGCAGCTTCCCAGTGGCTACGCAGTGTGGCAGGACAGAGCAATCTCATCACGGGGCTCCTTGGGCTGCTGGGTAGGGGCAGACAGACAGGACGGGGCAGGTGGCAGCGCCTGGCGGAGGGGGATGATGGCCGACCACAGGAGCGTGCCTCGGTGTGGGGCGGCGGCAGGCACGGGGCCGCCAGGAGCTTTCCTCGGTGTGGGGCGGCGGCAGGCATGGTGCCACCAGGAGCAGCAGCAAGTACTTCCTGGGCACCCGCTGTGCACCAGCTGCTGTGCTAAGCATGTCGCCTCACCATGAGGATGGCAGCTCATGAGGTTGGCACTATCATTATCCCCATGGGATAATGTCGGCTGGCACTGGGCGTATGGGTGGCAGTGGGTGCCTCCCTTGGAGGTCCCCGCCCCTCCGCCCAGCCAGCCACCTCCCTGGCCCTCCCTGGCCCAGTCCACAGTGTCTTCCTAATCCCCTGCTCCCCTCTCACCTGCAAGGCTGGAGGGTGGAGGGGTGGGGAGCGCAAGGTGGGGCTGGACTTCAGCCATCATACCTTCCCTGCACTCTCCTTGAGGGGCACCATTTGGCCTGTGCTGTGGGGGCCGAGGGAAAGGCCTCGCCCTGCCTGGCCCCTGCCGGCCTCTAGGGTCTGAGAGCGAGGTGGCCCTTGCCTCTAGCGAGGTGGAGCCTGTTGCCTGAGCACTTAGAGTTTCAGAAATTCCACGGAGATATACTGGGCCTCAGCTGTGCTGGGGGCTGGAGATTCAGCAGGGAGACAGACACAAAGCCCCTGCTGTGGAGGAGCTCACCCCCTTGTGAATGTAAAAAGTCTCTCCATTACGACTTCTAAGTGGAAGTCACCCTAAGGAACAAAAGGCAAAATGGCTTCATATCTGCTTTGATTGGATCAGACGAGAAACAAAGGCTCAGAGAGGTCAAAACATTTGCTCAAGGGTGCACAGCCAGCCAGCGACACAACCATGACCCTAGGACTTGACTGCATTCACTGCTCTTTCCACTGGACCCACGGAACCTTCCGGGGCACCCACAATCACCCTGTGCCTTCAGGCCAGAGATGACCCTGTCTCATCGCCTGTGCAGAATGGCTGTGGGGGCCATTGCTGTACCCTTGGGCTCCTAAGGTGCTCTACCACCTGTCGCGCCCAGAGCCACGGGACTTCTTCCTTGGGTTTTCTTCCCACTCTGCCAGGCCATCTTTGGATTCCCCGGCCGTCCCACCCTACCCACTTCCTTAGCTCTGAAACCTTCCCCATGGCCCCCAGCCAACTGGCTGTCCCTTCTCCAGGAGTGAGTGGGGCGCCCAGCCCAGACGTGGTGCCAGTGCAGCCAGGCAGGCCGCTTTCTAGGAACAGGCTTTTCTGAACAGATGCTTGGAATCCACTCCCAAGCGCACTCAGGCTCCCTCTGCCCAGCGCCTGGAGCTCTTGGGCGTCTCGCTTAATTTCCAGGATATGGTACCGTTCAACAGCACTCCCGTGGCTCCTTTGCTCGTAGCCATTGTGTCTTCCGAGACGCACTGCGAGTAGCACTAATTTAGAGCAAGAGAGAAAGAAATGCGCACCCCGGGCACACATTAAGTGTCCTCTGATTAAGCCTTTGTTTGCTGCTCTCTGCTGAGCCAACTCCCAGCTCCCACTGCAGCGTGCAGACGTGGCTTCTCAGCCCGTGGTTCTGGGCAGGCCGATATTTACATGTCCAACGAGCTGGGCGACAGGGCTGCTGCTGGCCTGGGGACCACCGGGAGCAGCAAGGCCAGGGCGCTGGCAGTCCGGACTCCTGGGTCCTGTCTGCTCTGTCCTCCCTGCTCCATGTGACTCTAGGTTGTCCCTGCTGCTCTGTGGGCTCGGTGTCTCCAGGAGGCTCGCGGGTGTGGGATTCTCTAAGCCGGTAGGTCTCAGTTATGCAGGGGGATGCATTTATGTCCAGCTAAGCCCTGGTGGGGTCCAGGCAGCTGGGCTTGTAGCCAACTGACTGGAGACTCAGGTGAGGGGCTGTAGGGCGCCACCCAGGGACGGTCTGGGGCGCCGGGTGCCCATCCTGAGGCCCACCGTCCGGTGCTGTCGTTACCAGATAGAGCGGATGCACTGGCCGGGCAGCGGGCAGCAGCTGCCCCGCTCCATCTGCAGCCTGCCCTGCCAGCCGGGCGAGCGGGAGAAGACCGTGAAGGGGATGCCCCG